CTTGGCCAAATGGGGCAGAGCCTGGATTCAAGCTCATTTCTCCTCTCTCCATCAAAGCATCTTCTCAGTGTGTTGTCCTACCTCATTCCTCCCTGGGAGAGAACCCCGTACACAGCCAGGAAGTGAACGAAAGTGAGGGAGCCAGCACCCCAAGAAAGGACCAAGTCCTGCCTCTGCTGTTAAATATCTGGGTGACCTTGGGAATCTACCCCTCTGGACCTTGGACTCCTTGTCTGTAAAATCACTTTGACAACAGCTGATTTCAGAAACCACACGATGCTAAATTGGCTGCTAACCTGGGGCTTTTGTCATGCAGCTTCCCCTGAGCAGTATTCATTTCCCACAGTACGATTGTGGAAAAAGTTATAGTCAGGCTGTGTAAATAGGGACAGCCTACGGGAGCAAGAGCCCTGTGAGCCTCTGTTCTTAACTGAGGAAGGACAAAGGCAGGAGGGAGAAGGTGCAGGTGAGAGGCGTGTAGCCTGCCCTCCTCTCCACAGACCTAGGACACAGCCGTGGCTGCCCAGCTACGCTGATGTCTGCAGTCTGGAATTGCTGAAGTGCTGGTCTCCACTGCTCTCCCTTCCATGACACCGCTGATTAGAGCTATGGAACTTACAGAGACTCAGTGGGTGAACGAAGTCACATTTTCTCCTTTCAGTGTATTGCTTACTAAGCTAACAAGGCCAGGGGAGTCTCTGAGGCAGTCTGAGAATAATTTGAAAGCCAGTTAAGGCAACAATAGAGACCCACACTTGCCAGCTTCCAGCAGAGTTTTGAGGTCCACTTCTTGTTTATGTAAAATTATAGAAATACCAAGATTAACCAAATATGCAATGTCATTTTAACAGAGCTTTCTTTTTCTGTGGTAAATCCATGGCATTTTTATGATGAATCTTTCTTATAAAGGCAAGAATCATCACTGATTTAACATTTGGCCCATTTCAGTTTCCACAGATCAAGTTTGGCTTAACATGCAACTTTTTCCAAGACAGCCCATCTGGTCTGCAGCTGCCTTCCCTGGATCTGATGCTGATTCAAAGTTGGGTGGGAAGAGCAGGACAGGATGGGGAAAATCACAGAGGTGAATAACTTCCTGTGCACTTCTTAGTTTCTAATGCTGCTGGACAAAATGCAGCACTGCAGAGAGCTGTGACCTCAGAAAATATTACTGGCACAGAAGTTCAGCTCCAGCATTTTGGTGGAGTAGGGGCTTTTTGCAGGCAGCAAATCTGGCTGGAAGGGTTGTACTAGAGGACTCTTAGAGCTGCATTTGCATGGCACCTCACATAGGACTGAAAAATGCCAGTCAGCCATGTCACTGGGAGGGAGCAGCTGGTGGAAATCATGGTAAAGTTCCTGCAGGCCCCCTTGCAAGCATCATTGCCCTAGTGTTACCCTTCCTTCTCACATGATGACCATAGCGCTGAATGAAGGGGAAAATGACATCCCTGGGCAGCCGTGCAAGACCCTTTGTCACATTGAGGATACTGGACAGGAAGGCAGCGGTCATGAGCCCCCCACCTTACTTTTCACTTTGCTGGAGAGCCCAGGAGGGTGGAGGAAAGAAGCACTTCTCAGGCTTCATCCTTCCAGGTCCTTCCTGGCCCCTTCCTGGGATAATCATTGTCCTGCTGAGACCTCTAGTGGCCATACTGGTAACTACAGGAGCCTGAGTCAGGAGGGGAGGAGACAGACACTGTGGGTGGCGGGGAACCACAGCCCACCCAGCACGTGCTCCGTGGTCTGTGGAGGTCTCAGCCTTACACACCTTCTAGATGGAGGAAAGGGAGCATCAGAGACCTGAGACCCCTGAGGTGTCAGCCTGGAGGCCTTGTGGCCTGTTGCCATGGGAACATGTGCAGCTGTTAGCCATGGTGATGAAGACTGCCTTCTTGGGTGCTTCTCATTATTCCAGCCTAATTCTGGGATCGAGTGTATCCTTCATGTCTTGCCATTGGACAGATGTATGATCCCACTGTTACCTAAAACCAAACTGAGCTCCCGAGAGTCTGAAGAGCCAGCCTCCAGAGGCCTGGTCTTGTTATCCGACAGACACACGGACCAGCCCACATTTGCCCCTGGGGGACCTGTGTTGACTGGCCAGGCATGGGGGCTAGAGGGCCTTGCCCTGCATCCCCAGATATTCACCTCCCAGAGGGACAGGACAGCATCCCCCCCACCACTGCCTCCCACACTCTGATCCTCTGGGCTTCCTGAGAACAGTAAGTAGGCTACACCTGACTGACACGAGACTAAATTGTTATAATTGTTCTAACCCAGTGGTTCTCCACATGTGATCCCCAGACTAGCATCCGTATCACTCAGGAACTTGTTAGAAATGCAGATTTTCAGGCTGTTTTACCGGCTTCTGGGTGACTGTGAGGCTCGCTCAAGTTTGACCACCTCTGCTCCAAGCGCTGACTTACTGTATATGTGATGACAAACTCTGCTCACTGCAATGTGCGTGCTGACCCCTCACCCACAGAGATTCAGTAGTTCTGCAGTGGGGTTGCAGAAATCTAGTTCTTAAACCATCATTCCATGTAATTCTGATGCGGGTGAGCCACGGACCACTGTTTTCAGGAATTCTGTCCTAAGAAGAGCAGGGTCATCTTCACTAGCAGGTTTAGCTTCCTCTCTTGAATGAGAGATAAATGTTGTTCTCATATCTCACTGGTCACGGAAGAGACCTCAGTAAACGTATCAGATACTCCAGGACTTTGGCAGGGGTCATATTGTTCCCTCAGCAAATGAGGTTTTGCTACTGCTGTGAGGAAGATCTCAGTGGGGTCTGTATCATAATTCAAATGTGAAATCTTCCCCTGGAAAGAGATACTAATCACTGAGGGGACAGAAAGAACAGGAGGGCCTGCGGCTTCTTGTGAGTCTGGGTCTCTGGGGGGGTACGCTGGGCTCATCCAAGGAGCAATGTGTCATCCCTAGGCTGTGAGTCCGCCAGGTGGCAAGGTGCCCTTCTCCCTTCTCGAACAATTCAAGACTTTGTGGTGCTTTCTCCACAAGACCTCAGACACTGGTTTATTATAAGACTGCTAGGAAGAAAAGGCTTTTAAGACTTGAGGTTGTGAGTACACCTGACTCACACGCCCCCAACTTTGATCACCCTGGAAAAACAGTTCATTTGTATAGAGATTCTTGGGAATGAGAAGTCCCATCTCGCCCAACACAGCTCTGGTCCTGCTGGGAGCTCCAGGGGGGATTTGCCATCGCTCTTCTTCTGTCCCATTTAACCAACACCCCAGTTCCCTCCGGAGCACCCGCACCGTCACGGGGCGATAATCCATCGGGCTGTTCTCTGGGAAGACTCATAAGCAGAGTCACATTTTCAGAGAGCAAGAGACGTGGTGGTGACGCTCCTGCTCCCCCCTGGGATCCTCAGTCCTGTCTCGGCGCCTG